ATTGTAACTAAAATTAAATTATTGATTGACTAAATTTTTTGTCATTAATTTTTAATAATTATTAATCACATTAAAATTATTAATTTTATTAATTCTGGTTAATGTTTTTAAAAAATAATCATCTACTTTGGTTTTAGTTAAACTAAAAAAATTAAATTGAGCCAATATTTGAATTGGAAATGAGCAAGAACGACAGGAAAGGGACTAAAAAATTTCACGAAGCATTAAATTTTTAAAAAATAATATTAGAAAAAGCCCCAAAATTTTAAAAATGGGTGGGAAGGCCTAAAAATAATTAAATTTCAAAAAAAAAAATCCGAAAATTCTATTACACGCAGCCTAGTATTGAGTTTTCGGTTATTGGACCCAATAATCCAATAACCAAAATCCGCCCAATTAGGATTCGACTCTAATTGAACCAAAAAAATAAAAAATAAAAGGTTAAATTTTTAATTTGATTCCTAAAATTATTATATGGACATTTGATTTGGTCCCTAAACTAAAAAATCCCTGATTTGATCCCTGAACTATCATACGGATCCTCGATTTGGTCTTTATTGTTTATCAATTTACCTCAAGTTGGTCATTCTGTATAAAAAAAAACTGATGTGTCTCGTTATTAACGTAACATGTGACTGTTAAGTTATTATATTTTATCGTTAAATTATTATTTTTTTACCATTTAGTAATAAACATGTTAGTTGTTTTTTGTATGAAATGATCAATTTAAGACAAATTAGTAAACATTAAGAACCAAATTGAGTTCGTACAATAGTTCAAGGATCAAATCAAAAAAAATTTTAATTTAAAAACTAAATTAAAGGTCTATACAATAGTTGAGAGACTAAATTAAGAATTTAACCAAAATAAAAATCCTAAACCCGGTCAGGGGTGCGCATTGGGTATGGGTATGGATATACCCATTACTTCTCTTCGTTTTATCCATTTAGATAAGTAAAGAACTCTAAAACAATTAGGTAAGTAATAGATATACAAATAGTATTTTTGTAAGTATTAAGTTAAGTTATGAATATTAGAGTGTAAAATTATTTGCTTGATCTATTTAATTGTTTTATTTACTTGATCTAATATATTACTTATACTTGTATAATTAAAATTTCATATATAGTTATTATACTTAATATCTATATAATAACAATAACTTTTAAAAATAAAAAAA